AAAACCGCATTGTTCCTCCTGAATTCGAGGTTCGACTATCGGTCGAATTCTCCTCTCCAGTACCCTGGCATAGACTTTCCCGGGGAGGCTGAGGAGTGTGATCCCCCTATAGTTGGAACACACCCTCCGGTCCCCCTTCTTAAAAAGAGGGATCACCACCCCGGTCTGCCAGTCCAGAGGCACTGTCCCCGACCGCCATGCGACGTTGCAGAGGCGTGTCAACCAAGACAGCCCAACAACATCCAGAGACTTGAGGTACTCAGGGCGGATCTCATCCACCCCCGGTGCCTTCCCACTGAGAAGCTTCTTGATTACCTCAGTGACTTCAGCTTGGGTGATGGACGAGTCCACCTCTGAGCCCTCAGCCTCTGCTTCCGCATCAGCAGACATGGCGCCGGGATTGAGGAGATCCTCGAAGTATTCCTTCCACCATCCGACAATGTCCCCAGTTGAGGTCAACAGCTGCCCACCTCCACTGTAAACAGTTTTGGCAGGGCACTGCTTCCCCCTCCTGAGGCGCCGGACGGTTTGCCAGAATCTCTTCGAGGCCGACCGATAGTCCTTCTCCATGGCCTCACCAAACTCTTCCCAGACCCGAGTTTTTGCCTCCGCAACCGCCTGGGCTGCAGCCCGCTTGGCCTGCCAGTACCCGTCAGCTGTCTCAGGAGTCCCACGAGCCAACTAGGATCGAAAGGACTCCTTCTTCAGCTTGACAGCAGCCCTTACTTCCGGTGTCCACCACCGGGTTCGAGGATTGCCACCACGACAGGCACCGGAGACCTTACGGCCACAGCTCCGAACGGCCACATCGGCAATGGAGGTGAAGAATATGGTCCACTCGGACTCGGTCATTATTTGATGTGATACCTAATTTGATCATGCCTCTCCGATCCCTCAGACGGTACTGCATCAAGAACCATCACTCTTCCATAAGCGATATAACCACATGGGCTCAGGATTACTTTTGGCTCACCTGTGTCAGGCACTACAATACATAGTCACATCCATAAATTCCGCTTAAAACGGTACTGTGCCAAAAGGAAGCCCTATGTCAACAGTGTCCAGAAGCTGACTGCTCTGGGCTTGGAAGCATCTTGGATGGACCATCACACAGTGGAAACGTGTACTGTGGTGAGACCAATCAGTATTTCAGGTCTTTTTTGGAAGGAATGGACGCTGTGAGCTCTGGACCAAAGGCAAAAAGGACCATAAGGACTATTACCAGCAACAAGTCCAAAAGTCAGGGTCTGTCACAATCTGGGGTTGTGCCAGTGACCTTGGCAAAGGTAGCTTACACTTTTGTGATGGAACCATTAATGCTGAGAAATACATAGAGATGTTGGAGCAACACATGCTCCCCTCAAGATGAAATCTTTTCCAGGGACTGGAAGGAAAAGGGTGTGAGTGCTGGACACACAGTAGAGAATGTGTGGCACATCATGAAATGCAAATTGCATCATTGAAGACCCAGGACTGTTGCGCAGCTTAAGACTTGTTTACAGGGAGAATGGGACAAAATGACACATTTAATCACTTGGTGTCCTAAATGTCTTTTAAGTGTTGTGAAAAGGAACGTCAATATCACACCGTGGTAAATACTTTACTGTCCCAAATTTTTTTGGAATGTGTTGCAGCATCAGAATTGAAGTGAGTGTTTATTTTGAACAAAGAATAAAATTGATGAGGTATCACATCAAATAATGTGCTGCTATACTGATTTTGATGTGATACAGGACACAGATGATGTACATATCACTGTTTTCACTTTTAATTTTGATTTTATATACCACAGCAACTTTCGCCGATTTGGGGTTGTATAAAGACATTCAGTGCATGTGAACTCCTGTGGGTGGATGTCAATAATATATTGTCCTCAGACATCTGTTGGAATACAATGCATACGACAAGAAATAATACTTAAATGAATAATATGTAACACGTATTATATTGCATGTCTCCAAAATACTTTGATATTTTTTACACATTCAGGAACATAAAGTTTTGGAGAAAGTCTAGGATTTATTAATTTTTTTAAATAATTTCCTGATGAAGTTGTTCAGCTTCTTCTTATTATTATTATTATATTTTTTTTTCAATGCTTGCATTTTACCTCATAGACACTAAACTGGCTTTGGCCTCTTGACACTTCCCTGTAGCTGGTGGTGAACTCTCCAATAAAGTCATGGCTGTAAGAATGACAAAAGGGAAACAAATGGAGGGATACAGTTATGTCTACATCTGCTACATGTATATATTTCTATCTTATTTTTTAAAGAATTATATTTCTGTTGTCATCATTGTTGGGGTTTACTGTATTAGTACAGGGTGGGCCACAGAAAACTAGTCCATGTACCCATATTGCCCATGGAGGCGGGCTACTTTTCCATGGCCCACACTGTAGTACCTCACAGCAACAGTTTAACTTTAAGATTTTACAAAATTGTACAGTGTATGGAAACCATGCCTATACTCTGGCTTTATCAAGCTGTAAATACAACACTGACATATTATCACCTTATAATGTAATCATGGCTAACATATTAGCAAACAGTAGGTTTTTTTCAAATTCAGGAGTTACATAATATAAATAATAATAAATAAATTTAGAGATATTTTTCTTGCTGTGTCCATCAAATAGTCACTAAAATTGACTATCTGCTTTTTTTGCCATTCATTTTCAACTGTCGTGTGTACCCACTAGAAAATGATCTGTGACAAATTTGACATAAAATCAAAATGCACAGCTATATAAATTCTACATATCCTTTTGAGTCCTGACTCTAAACTTGAAAAATGCTATTTTAATGTGTCAAGCCACACACAGGATGACACTGTGGGTAACTTTTTGACCATGGGAAATCAGTTATGTCAGAGGAGTGCTCTTTTCAGAGTGCTGCTCTTATACAATTAAAAAGTAATGTGCTGCACAGCATGGTGTGCCGCCATGCTCAAGAGAGTTTTTATCCTGGGGGTATTGAGTAAATGTAAATCCCAAACTGCACCACCAAGATTAGAAGTGACCCTTGTTAAGCTGAATTCCAAATACAGTCAAAACCAAGTACAACAGTTTTATATAAGATGGCACAGCTGCTGGAATTTCTCTGCTGTAATTGTGAAAACCAACCCAGTGGAAACAATAAGGTTTATAATTTTAATTTGTCATTACTTGATTATGCCAGTACTCCCTGTGTTACATAAACCAACTGCATACATTAGTTAATCTGCCTGTCAACTGATTTTTCATTTGTGGTGAGGAGAGTTTAAAACAATAGAATGGGGAAAAAAGATAAAACTGAATGTTAGATACCAGCTATGAGAAGACCCCAGACCAGTAGAGTGACAGAGGAAACTCAGAGACTTGCGCATTGTGGGTTATTACCACTTTTGTAAAGTCTTGGTGAGTGAGTTTCCTGCTAAGCTAATGAAGTTAGTTACTGTGGTTGTTGTGGTGATCGACCTAAAATGTAACCCCAGGGATGTGTGCTCTCTTGTTTGGAGCGACTGTGCCACGTGCATAAGACTTTAATATGATATTGCACAGGTTTTTAAGCAAAAAATTAAATCAAAATTGTTTTAAAGTGTAATCTTAATTCATGGTTAATGGGCATTAGCAATAAAATCATAAAATATTGCTGAGAAAGAAAAAAGCTGACATGAAAGTAAGCCTATATTGTGTATTTTTGATAGTTTAATACTTTTTGACTGCTATTATGCTTTAATAGCATATTAAATATCATGTGAATGTGTTGACTTATTGTGGCAATAGATAATTGAGACTTTGGGAGTTACAGTATAGTAATAGCCATACTGTTGTATAGGCTAGGTTTTTGAGACCCAGAAGATACCAGACCCTGGATTTTGGATTCTTGATTCTCTCCTTGACAAAGGAGATGGCGAGCCACCAGCTGAACTTCACCGCCCACGAAGGAGGACTTCGTGGGCAGTTTTCCCTTGGATGTGACCGCTGTGGTAGGACTCTACCTGCCCTGTCTGCCTTTGAACAGTTTCCAAACCATGCCAGGATGGAGTAAGTCAGTACACTGTCTACTCAGCAGTGATAAAAAAAATACTTCAGCAACCTGGCAGAAATGTGGTTTTTCCTCAGTATCCTGAGGAAATGCAGTTTTTGCTGAACCTTCTTCACTGCAGCAGTGGTGTTTAGACTCCATTTTAGGTTACTGCTGATGTGGGTACCTAGGAACTTGAAGCTTGTCACCTGCTCCACCTCCTGGTCTTCTATCCTGAGTGGCAGGCATGCATCCTGTTTTCACCTAAAGTCCAGGATGAGCTCTTTTGTTTTTTTGATGTTTAAGAACAGGTTACCCCTGTCAGCCTGCAGATTTCTTTGTACAGTGTGTGTTCAATCACCAGTCTCATCACCATTTTAGATGAGACCCACGACAGCTGGGCCATCTGCAAACTTGATGATTGTGTTTGTGGGGTGAGTGGGTGTGCATTCGCAGGTATAGAGGGAGTATAGAACAGGACTGAGTATATACCTCTGCGGTGCTCATGTACTAAGTGTCAGGACTGGGAAGGTGTGGGAACCAAGTCTCACTGCTTGTGGGTGGTTAGTCAAAAAGTCCTTAATCCACAGGCTCAGATGTTTGTGGAGGCCCAGGTCCTGTAGCTTCATGACTAATATCCCAGAGACAATTTTTGGAGGCAGAGCTAAAATCCACAAACAGCAAGTCAAATAGCAGGTGAAAGTGTTTATTTGTCATATGCACAGTTAGGAAACGTGTTTCCCTGTACAAAGAAATTCTTGCGTTGCCATCCACATGAATGCCACACAATACAAATCAAATATAAAGTAGATGAGCAATAACAAATCTAAATAGGCAGTAACACAGATCTAAGGCACTTTAAAGCAGTAAGTGAAAGAAGCACAATATAATGCAAAGAGAATATATGCTATGTGGGAGGCGTGAAGTGCAAATATTCAGCATTGAGTGTGCGTGTGTTATGCATGTGCAAAATGAGTATGTAAACAGTACAGATGGAATTACATGAGGTAGTTCCTGAGTCAGCTGTTAGGAGTCTGATGGCAGTCAGAAAGAGAGTTTTTCAGTCTAGAAGTCCTGCATTTCACACTTCTGAGCCTCCGACCGGAGGGTAGGGGTATAACAGTCCATGCTGGGGGTAGGTGGGGTCCTTGAGGATGGAGGCAGCTTTCCTACGCACCCTGCGGTGGTAAATGCTGCAGGCGCTTGCGGTCTAGCTGTAGAGGTTGCAAAGGATCCTAGGCGACATGCCAAACCTCCTCAGCCTCCTCAGGAAGGACAGCCGCCATTTGCGCTTGCAGTCTATAGCAGTAGTGCTGCCATACCAGACAGTGATGCAGCTGGTCAAGATGCTCTCGCCGATGCAGCTGTAGAAGTTGCTGAGGATCCTAGGCGACATGCCAAACCTCCTTAGCCTCCTCAGGAAGTACAGCCGCCATTGGGCCTCCTTGACCAGCTGTGTGGTGTTAAGTGTCGAGGTGAGGTCCTCGCACCATGACACCAGACTGGCCACGTCCCTCCTGTAGGGTGTTTCGTCCCCGTCAGTGATGCAACCTATCACTGTGGTATCGTCCTCAAACTTTAGGATGATGTTGTCTTTGTGGGAGGTGACACAGTCGTAGGTGAACAGGGTGTAGAGGATGGGGACTGAGGACACATCCTTGTGGGGTGCCGATGTTCGTGATAATGTTGTTTGAAGTCCTATTGCCAATCCTGACAGTCTGGGGCCTGCCAGTCAGAAAGTCCAGGAGCCAGTCACGGAGGGTGGGGTGCAGACACAG